TCGGGGGTGCCTCTCCCCGCAGGCGTGGTCCCTCAGCGCAGCTCCCGGCTTTCATAGCCATAAAAGCACTGGCCTTGGAATTCAGGGTTGGTACGTGCCGGAGAGTTCTGCCAAAGCGTGCAGATCCGCACAAAGGGAAAGTTTAAAAAAAGAAAGTAAAAAAAAAAAAAAGAAAAACCAACCCAAAGAAAACTAAAAAAGCGTGTTGCTTGACCTCTCCTAGATAGTGGAAGCGAAACAAAGAGGGGAGGCCGTAGATGGGAAATGAGAGCCGGCTTTTTGCCCTCCGAAGAACAACCGAAAGTCTGGTTTCGTTTGTTTTCTTCCCCGGTGCCCGAGTTACGCTGGGTGGCCGGAGGGAGGGTTGTACTCGTGTCTCTGCAGCCTGTTACTACTGAATCGCTCGATTGCAGCACGTCAGCGTCCTCTGGGCCAAGCCGGTGGCAGCGATCTCTAGCACAGCACGTTCTTTATTTAGAAGAATCCAGCAGAAAAGCTTCCTCAACTCTGTTAGTGTGACTGTGGTTGCTGGAGGGGTTGTCTCTGTACATGCGTTTATAGCCTAAGTCTTATGTGGATTTGACTGAAAGATGCCATGTTACTCTTCTAGGCAAGACATCTGTATATTTGTGACTTCCACAAAAACTTAATTCAGAGTGTGAGAAATAGAAGAAAGAGGAAAGGCAGCGATGATGATGGTGACTCACCAGTACAAGACATCGACACTCCAGAGGTAGCTAAATAGTGGGGATTTTTTCTGATTGTTGTGTTAATCTGAATCTGCATGGATACCACTTTTCTGCCCTTACTGTTCTTCATCTTTTGGAGTATGCAGGGAAAGGGAAGAGTCTTGATTCACTCAGTTCTTAACATAACAAAAGCTAACTGAATTTTATGGTGTATTTTCTGTGTAAATTGTGCAGAGTAGAATGAACAAGACTCACTAGGTTATTTTCAGCTTTTTCCTTAGTGCTCTCTCTCTTGCATCCTACTAGGAGAGGTGCTTTACTACATATCAACAAAATCCATCGTCTGCAGGAGTTGACAACTTGAAGAGAATTGCACACAGGGCTCAGGATATAAATGCTTCACTGCCACGTCCCACCTATCCTTTCCTTCTGTGCTAAATGTGTTGCAGATGGCTCTTGCAGCTACTCCATTGCCTTAGTCACATTAAACAGAAAGTGTAATGATAGAAGCTCTTCAGTTTTACCCCTTGTTGAGGGAAAAGATGTTCAGAGAGTTGTGCTAGAAGGGAATGGTGAAGGATGGTATCTTTCTTGCTTGTTTTCTCTGCTTTGGACCACTGAAACCTTCATCTATTATAAAAATGAACTACAACTTTCATACCTTTTGCATAGTATGTAATGGGAGAAACTGCACCCAAGGCTCACTTTGTCCTATGTGCACTCTGGCTTAGTTCTGTTACGGCCTGGTTTGGCGAATGCTGTTCATTGTGTTAATTTTGAGCAGAGGCTGTCAGGCCTACCTGGTCCTTTCTAAGCAGGATTTTTAAAGCATTCATCGGAAGTTGCTCTGTGTTAATTCAATGGCATGCTTATGGCATCTGCAGATACCAGCAAGTCATGAAACTTTGTGCGAGAATCACTGCCTAAAGGCACGTGGCTCCAGTCTGAAGGCTAAGAGGATCCTCTAAGAGGATTTTAGGGGACTGGGAGTAGTTTGATGCTGGGCTGTGTTCTTTGTCTGTTAAATATGCAGGACTGCTTCTTTGAAAGTTGTATAAAGCTAATGTTCTCCGTGGCCTCAGGTAGCTCTCTTGGCACAGTGGTACAGCTCTCCTGCATGCCTGTTTTGTCTTCTCATGCAAGAATTATAAAACATGTCACAAACGACGGATATCTCTAGAACCGGAAAGGAAGCTTTAAGTTGTATTACTGCAGGAAAGAAAACTCCCCGAGAAGTATTTTTGAGGAGTTTCAGCTGGCCATTTGGACAATGGCAGTATGTTCATCCCCTGTGGTTACGGTATGCCTTGGATGCCCATTGACTCTTGACCTTCTTTATTTTCTATTGCTATCCAGTTTAGTAATGAAAAATATCCTTCCTCTGAAGACTTGTGAGGCCCTCCTGTTTTCGTTTTAGTCATGACCGTTGTTAGCTGTTAGAAGCAATTTCTCTGAGAGGGTAAAAGGCTTCCACAGTACTGGTTCCTTCAGGGACTTCGTAGAAAGCTGCTGCTCCTCCTTCGTGTGACATTGTGACTTGGGAAGCAGAATTTGTGCCATGTAAACTTTAGAATAGAATCATAGAATCATAGAATGGCCTAGGCTGGAAGGGACCTTAGAGATTATCTAGTCCAACCTCCCTGTCATGGGCCGGGACGCCACCTCTCGACTAGAACACCAGAGGAATACCCATTCTTAATTGTGCAAGGCAGCATCACAGCAATTGGACGGGTTACCAAGTGTGCAGTAGCACTGCAGTTGTTTAAATACCCTATAGTTGAGGGTACTAAATGAATTTCAAGTGGAAGCAAATGCCTTAGTCAGTCTTCAACGCAGTGAGTTTGGAGAATACTACTGTAATTGCAACTGATCTAACAGAATTTCTCATTCAGCCTGCTTTCTCAGCTTGCTTTCCCACTCAGTCATCTGATTTAAGCTCTCTTATGTTGTCAGAGAGGGTGGGAGGCTTAGCTGTTGCTGGGAGAAGTGACTGTTGATCAGAGTTCACAGGATTAAGAACTGAGGGAGCACTGGGCTGAGGTTGTGTATTTGTATCCCTAAGAGGATCTTGTGCAATTCTCTCAACTGCCAACTCGTGCTGAAAAATAGTTTTGGAAAACTATGCCCATACACATAACTTCTGCATTGTGTTTATGCAGGAGGGATAAGTTTAGAGAGTGAGAACAGCTGTTGTCTTCTCTGGCCTCAAGCCAAAAAAAAATAATTTCGTGTCCTAGACTGGTCCTAATACGTGCTATCTCATGGTGCAGATGTGCTATGTCTTGCACACAGCTTGTGTAAAAATCACAATAAAGGGGCCTCCTTTGAATCAATGTCTTCATAGATGTTGCATGAAAGTTGTTAAGTTGTTATTGGGCTTGTGTTAGTATGCTCAAACTGCAGAACAAATGGAAAAAAACCAACAACAAACAAATGAGAACTTATTAAAGGACAATAACAAGTTCCGAATATTGTCCACTGCTGAAGGGAGGCAGAGCTGTGCTTGGTAACAGTAAAATGTACTTAAACCAAACTGACTGTTTTCCTTTCTGCTGGAAGGTGTGGGGTGGAGTTTGTTTTTTGTCAAAATGAGATCTGCTGAGCTGATGATCTATGCTTGCGTACTGTGAGACTTCAGAATGTTTTTTGAGAGGCCAACTATTAATGACTGAGCCCTTTTCAGTTAATTAGGTTGTTTTCCTCCCCTTCCCCTGCTTTTCTTCTAGGTTGATTTATATCAGTTACAAGTAAACACACTTCGAAGGTACAAAAGACACTTCAAGCTACAGACCAGACCGGGACTTAACAAAGCACAGCTCGTTGAAGTACGTATGAGTGTTTGTTCTATAACAGAAAATGCAACTTGCTCTGGCATGTGGTTTTTCTATACAACGTGATCTTTGCATGAAGAACATATGCAATCTGGATTTTATGGGAACAAAAGGGAACTGCTTATCTAGCTTCCTTCACTGGTCACCAAGCTCCTGAGCCAAGTATATCAAAAGTTAAAGTTCTTTCCATGGGAGGAACTCTTAATTTCTGAAAGGAGTGTGTGCTGCCTAAAAATACAGTGTTGACTTGAAACAGCGAGGTGATCTGTGTGACCCTGAATATCATAGAATCACAGATTTCTGGTCTGCACATCAGTCTGACCTTCACCTGAAGCATCCTGAGAACTAGAAGCTGAGAGGCAGCAGTGGAGTTGTATCAAGGTTCAGACTTTGCTTTAAAAAGCCGATTCAAAACATACGTGTTTATGTAAAGGATGGAAACACAAAAACCAGGCTTCTGTTCATAATTAATTGTGTTACTTAAAACCAATGGGATCTGCCACCAGAAAAATGGAACTTTATTAAATTAGTGGGTTTTTTCTTACATCAGTAAGTGCTAATGTGATGTGTAGGTACAGCTGTAGGTAAGCATCTTTGCTGCATGTGAATGTAGTTTCAAAGGAATTCTGTGCTGCAAAGATGCACTTACAGCATGCTGATGTAAATATGTGGGAGGACTAGTGAGCTCTTAGAAGAGAAATACAGGTACTGTTTTTTCACTTTTGTGCTGTAATACACTCGGTTGTCCTTCCATGCGGACGTTATGCTGGTCTGTCCCTTAATCCGTGTGGATTAAAGGCAAGGATCTTAAATGTGTGGGAGGTCTCAAGGCTGAGCTATAAAAGAACGGTGCTGCTGCCGCTATGAGTAAGAATATAAAATCAGTCTTCATTTTCTTACGTGTGAGCTGAGGGAGAGCCAGCTCTTGAATTAGCAGGACTGTGACTCAAGAAAAGACAAGCAGGTTTTGTTCTGCCAAACCAGCATTTCTATGCAAAGCTGCTGTCATGTGCTTGCTTTGACCTGCAGGTATTTGTGGGCCGCAGCTGCAGAACTTCCTCACTTTACAGTGCATGTGATTCTTTGTAACTGGTCCTCATATACAATAGTCACTCCTCTTAGAACTGCGCTTTAAAGGACTGCGTCAAACTGGTTCTCTGTGAGTTTTTTGAGGGTGAAGTTTTGGAAAGCTTTCTAACTTGCTAATTATGCTAAACATTTATACTTGTACCCTGTAGTAGTTAAATGAGCGGTCCCATTTTTCTCACTTCCTCTTGCTAATTTTAATCCACAAAAGTATTCTGCAAAAAGCCAGGGAACAGACTCGAGGCGGTGTCGTGTTTTGATGCTTTCTTTTAAAGAGTTCGAGAATGACAAAAGCGACTCGAGAACTGTTTAGAAACTCATATTTCAGTAGTTACAGCCTAGTGAATTTTCATCATTGATAGCTCTGTTTTGAAGAGCTGAATGTTCAATTGTAATCTCAAAGATTCTTGTCTTGTCTTAGATGTTTCTGTATGTGACTTGATACAGATACATATTTCCCCCCCACCCACACCTGAATAATAAGCAGCAGCCTCTCATTTCTGTGCTGTCACTCTGTTGATGCTCCATAGCAAGCTTTGACCACATGGGTGTAATGATACTCTAATGCTGATTTGGGGTATTTTGAGAGCTGCTTCCCCCCCTCCCCTGAAAATTCCCTAGGCTTTTTACTTAGGAAACGAGGGTACAATCTGCTATATTCGTTTCACAGTTCTCAATAAAATGGTTCTTATTCTACCTTTTTTATGACTTAAAAGACTTCTGAAGAGAGGTAGGTTTTAATTTCTTTAAGCTTCTTAAACAATGTGTAAAAATTTGATCGATGTAGTCATTTTAAATCCATATCTTCAGTTTCTGCATGTAAGAGTGGTTATTTAATTTCCTTGCCTTCTTCCTTTATAGATAATCGGCTGCCATTTTAGGACAATTCCAGTGAATGAAAAGGACACCTTAACGTATTTCATCTACTCGGTGAAGAATGACAAGAACAAACCAGATCTAAAGATGGATAGCGGGGTTCATTAGAGAGAAAAGGTTGGGACTGAGACTCAGGCTGCACATCAAAAGACTGAGGGTTTTTGTTGATACACAAAAGCTTTCTTTGTAACTTTTTTTTTTCTCAGAGAGGTTGTCTCTTTTTATTTTTCATAACCACGCTGATTTGTTTGAAAACCATCTCTTATGAAACAAATTTCCTCAGCAAAAATATTTTAAATAAATATTACTGATATTGTTGCTCGACTGGGTGTGTCTAACTTATTTAGTGAGTAACTTGTACCTAATAGTTAAGCTTTGACTAATTGTGTAATAATATTAAAATATTTTTCAATTAAAGAGTGTCAAAGATATATTTATAAATGTACCTCAAGTTCTCATGATACACTGCCTTTAAAAAAAAAAAAAGCTGTAACAGACTTGGCAGTAGGTTCCTTTTCCTAAGGTGTAAAAGGCTGTAAATGACAGTTCTAGTTGCTAGCTGGGCAGAAATGGCTGAATAACACTTTCTTTTTTTCCCTTTGGAAACAAGAATTGATGGGTGCTTTGATTTGTTTATTCATCTTTTCATTGCTGGGGTATGCACTTCCAGCACTAAGGCCTTCGTGTTCCTATATAAAAAAATGGAAAAAACCACAGCTCTCAAATTTCAAAGCTGTAAGCGCGGATGAAAATGCTGCTGCAGCTTACTGTGCTGAGAAATCCTTCCACTCAGTTAGAAATCCTTTAGCTGCTGAATTTTCATCTGCATAGACTGTGGCTAAGAACTTAATTGGAGAATAGAAGATGCAGCTTGTGCTGGGTCAATGCAGTATCTACTAATAGGCATACTATTTCCTTTTCATTGCATGCGCTATCTCAGGACTCTTTGGAAAAAAAAAAAAAAACTTCCCCAAAACTTGTGATAAGATGTGAGAAAAATACTCAGCAATACTTTTTAATTGAATATCTCTGTGAAGTCTGATGTTGCAGATGATATTGTATTGTTGTTTAAGTATTGTGCCAGTCTAAAATGTGTGGTGTATGGAATATGGTTTCTTTCTGCTTTAAGCTGTGCACATATGCTGAAGAAAAGGTGAAGGGAGGAGAGTTTTCATCTTTCAGCAGAGGAGGACACAGCTTCAACTTACTCAGTTAGTATCAAGTCTTAACCTTATCAGATATTTAAAAGCTTTTTCTTAATTTGGAAAAATGTGAAAGCTGCATTTCTATGGTCTAGTCTGCTCGATGTTAATCTTGTGAGGGTTTTTGAAAGCTACTACTTTGCTGGCATCACTGCAAGTAAGATGCTTCACTCTGCTTTTTTTTTTTTTCTTTTTTTAACCTGTGACACTTGCATAGAACTGAATGATGATAAACTCTAACCTAAAACTGGCTGCCTTCCCAGTAGCTCGTAGTGGCCTGATTTCTTTCACTTGCAATATCTTGTGTAATCCCCCAATAAAGCTCTGCAGTGTTGGCCTAAGTTCAAGACAGTTACCAATATCTAGCTACTGGCAGCTAAAATTGGTATTCCTTTGAGGAGATGTTTTAGTACCGATTTCACTACAGTGACTGTAAAGTTGTTTGCTAAATATCCTTTGCACAAATTGAGCTTGTCATTTGCAAAGTGCTAGTTGGAGATGCAACCTGGCTGCGGTTAGGATGTCTGAAGGGTGAGAGTTTTTTCTCTTAGGGTGTGTCAGGTGAATTTTCTCACAAAGTCCTGGCAGGACCTGTACAAGAAGCTTTGGGGAAAGAAACAAAAGCAAGTTTCTATGGGAAGTCAGTCTTCAGTAGCTGAAGTGAGCCTGTCCTGCTGCATGAGGAAAGTGGCAAAATTTTTCTCCAGTGAATTATGGATTTTTTTCTTAGCTGGGAGTGGTGGAAGGAAAGTAACTGGAAGCCATCTACTAACTTTACTACCCAAACTTGCTTCTGTCTTAAATTTTTTGCTACTGCTGCTTTGGAAAGCTGTGAATGCCAGGCAGAGGCAACGTGATTCATGTAGAATCTAGATGGTACAACCAACAGAAGTTACGTGCCCTTATTACTGTTAGAAGCTTGTGGAGGACTTTGCACAAGAGTAGTTACCATATGTTTTCTCAGCAGAGCACTGACTGTGGATATTTTGACTGTAGGTTGCCAGATTTATGGTTGTTGGTTTTTCTTCTTTGTTTTTTTTCTGTTGTTTTGGTTTTTATCCTTAGCTAATGATTTAGTAGGAAACCCAAATAACTCAGGACTAATTACACAAACCCAGCTTAAAAACCCTGCTGACACAAACTGTTTAACAGTTGGTAGCCTAAAAATTGCTTGGCAAAAATAGTACACACAGATTTGAAACATTTATTATTAGCTATGTATATCACTTCCCTCCCCCACTATCCAACCCTTGTTTACTAACAGAGGAAGGAGCACAGTCATAATGATATTTCATACTGCATGTGAAATAAATCTGGTAAACTGGTGGTAGCAGTTTTTGTGGTGTAATGATGTAAGATTATTACATGAACAATATACTTACTAAGTGGAAAAGGCTAAATAGTTACTTCAGTGCTGCATGCCTTCCATGTGACTGACTTGATAGAGCTTTTATATGTAAGGAAATAAGCTAGGCTTGTTACCTGTAAGCCTAGCTTGTTCAGGTGTCTTTCCTTAAACTTACCAAGGCATATACGTTTTTGGCTGTTTTCCCTCCTATGCTGTAGTTGGTATTGGCAGGTGTTGAGAGGTGACTGTATACCTACAGCTTGGATTGTGATGCCTCTCAAGCATTAAGATGATTACTTCTAATATTTCAAGATAACCTCTTTGTCTTCACTTCCCTATCTATTTCTCTACAGGACTAGCCTGAAAATAAAAAGTCAGCACTTTAACTTAATTCTGAGGTACTGTATTTAAAAAAAAACAACTGCTTAAGTGTGGATTTTTATGTTACTTTAACAGACGCTGCCTTAGATGTCTTTCTGAATACGTATGTGTGTATATATATACACATATACACTATTGTAACTGTTGTAGTATAAGTTCAATGTTAAGATTAACCAATTCAAGATTTTATAGGTCACATAGTTAATGTGAGTGACCAGTTAGACATAATTAAGACCTAAATTTGCTTTCATACTATTAACATGAGTTTTTACCTTTTTTTTTCCTAGTGGAATTTTACTGGTGATAAGAATGGTGAAAGTTTACTTTTTGTATGTGCATGAGTTTTTTCATTTAAGATGCCTGAACAGAATGTAGGAGCCTGTCTGCAGAAGTTCCAGGTACTCAGTAACTTCAGCTTGACACAGCATTAACTGTGAGATGACAGTAAAGCAACAGAAACCTGCCCTTGTAGTACATTGCTACAAGAGTCATGTTTTTAGCCACGTGAAGGCTTAAGCTTGGAGTTTCTTCATCAAAATTAGTTGAGAATGTTGCATTAACATGAGTTAGGCTTTTTGCTGGGGGGTTCATTAAGAGTTTGTGCAGTCTTTTTACACCATCATGGAAATTAAGGCAGCTACTAAACCTGAAAGGAAAACTTCTCACATGTTTGAAACTCTAAAAAAATGTATAGAAAGGAAATTTTTCTACTGTATGAAAAGAGACACTGTCTTGTGGTTAGGAGGTTTTTTGTTGGTAGTGGTTTTGTTTTTCCCCTCAAAAGAATTATTACGTGATTGTAGAATGGTGTCTGTTGTCTTCACTGGCAGACTTGACATCCATCACTGACTGTTGCAGGGGATCACAAAAGATATCTTTGGTCCAAAGAAAACATCCCTGAAAGATATAAGATGTTTAAATAATTAGATTACTGGTTTTTCAGAACTTTAACATGACGTGTGTTTCCAGCTGTGGATATTTTTAATAATTTTTTTTTTTTAGTTTATGGTGGGATATATGTAGATTACTGCATTTGTGGGATGCCCTTCCAGCAGTGCAAAAGCAACTGGATGAAGATACTGCATTTCTAACTCTGCTGACCTGATTTGGAAGTGAATGCAAAACTTCAATTGACAGACCAGAGTGCCAGGATTCCTCCCAAATGCGTGATATTATAAAAATAAAGAGCTTTGGCATGTGCACGCATACTGATTAGTGAAATTTGTCCTGAGAGCAGACTTGCAAAGTAAGTCTTCTGCACCTCAAGATGGTTGAAGGAGGAAAGACCTTGTGTATTTGAATCAAAGTAAGAGGCTTTCTGAGGCTGCTCAAAGCTCTGAGGTTGAAGCTGTAAACCCAAAGTGTGCTTCAGGGTGAGGACACCACATCTGGTTTTAGGGAGAGTGAAATACGAAAAATTTATTTAAACCCTGCTCTCAGTTTGCATGTGAGGTTTCTAGCTTTAGAAGTCATTCCCACTCATTTCAAATCTAGTTCCCTATAGGAGTGCTGAAAAGTTGCCTTTTATTTGATTTTTAGGAGATGTGGGAAACTTGGGTGGTAAGAGAAGCACAGGTAAGTTGTTTTTGCTTGCCTATATAATGCTGTCATATTTCTGTGTCCCTGAAGTGTTAGTAAATTTTGGAGTGTCATTATTTTTAATTTACATTTCCTGAAGTAATGATGTTGCTGGAAACTTTAATGAAATAACACCTCTTAATACATTTTATTACTTGAAACCAGTATGGGCTGGTAGTGTTTATTAACTGATGGAGGATTAGGACTCAATTTAAATTCTGTTGGGATATAAGTTCTTCCTGTAGATCAACAAAACCCCCTCATATTCAGTGAGAGCTTCCCTGTTCAGCTTTGTCAGCAGTGCCAGAGAGCCGGAGAAGTGTTGATGTTCTTGGGCTAAATCTTTTCCTTCCCTTGCAGGCATTTGTGAACCTGTGTTTCCCCTTTTCCTTTTCTACTTCAAAAGAGCTGTCTTTAGAGAATTGTATATTCAACTGACGTTATCTGCATTCTCCTTGGAATAGCAATGTGGCTCTTTTCCGAGAAACAGAAAGCAGATGGTTTTGTTTATGGTCCTGAAAACATCTTCACTTCAAAATGCTGTGAATAAGGATTTGATGTAGTTCTTGTACTTAGACACAAGAGTCAAAAGTTGGGTGATTTAAATGCTGAAGTCCTCTATAATAGGACATACAGGTTTACAAATTATGCTATTAGGTGAGCCCCTGAAAACTGACAGTGTATTGGATAATTGGCTATATCTTGATATATATTTCAAACCATCTGAAGGGATGCATTTCTTTAAAATGATAGCTTATTCCTCTAGTGTAAATGATAGAAATAGAATGGGTGGTCACAAAGAACTGTAGAAGTGTGTATAAAATGAGCATGGTCTTACTTTGGGCAGCAGAGCAATTCATTCAAGTTGCAGTAACAGATCACCTCACAGCCTTTCCCTTCCCAAAAATGATCTTGCAGACCATCATGGATTTGTCGAAGGTTCTCCATCCCTTCGGGGATGTTGTGACAGTTGTGGTCTCTGAGGGTCTTCTTGTAACAAGAGGGACGCCGGGAAGGCACCGCAGGAGTACCCAGCAGGGTGCTCAGCAGAAGCAGTGCTGAAACCATCTTCATTTTTGTGAAGACTCTCTGCAGCAGGATGCTAAAGAGAAATGAGGTACGTGACTGAATAGATCTTTTTTCCCCCAATTTGCTTTCTGGCTTGCATTTTTCTTTTCTTTGCTATGACATTTTTGAGGCTTGAGCCTCAGTGCTGGAGAATGTTTTTTCCTAGGAGATAAATAATATTGCAGCAGAACTGATATTCATTACTTTCTGTACAACCTTGGGAATCCTTTCATCAGGAATTGAGGCTCCTATTGCTGGCAATTTTGTTGTTTGTTTGGCCTCTCACCTTGAGAAAATTGCTTTGAGCTGGCCCTATGTTCTCTCCCTGGTGTAAGTGAATGTGTCGATTGCTACCAAACCAGGGGAGAATGTCCCGGTGTGTTTCCTTGCCTTCCTAGTCGTTCTGCCTGTTTAAACAAGAGTCACTCACATAAAATTAATAGTATCTTTCCCCATGAAACTTGTGGAAAATCTGTGTGCTGATTGAATCCTCTGTCGTGGACTACTCAAGAAGCTGAAGCAATAAACAGCAAAGGAGGCTGAAGCTCTGCAGTGCTGCCAAGCGCCGCTGTCCTGGACTGCAGGCTCTGGTATGATACAGCATTACTGAGAGTTTTCTCTGGTTGTTTTTTTTTTAATCTTTTTTTTTGGTACTTCAAGCTGCTTAACTGAGTCTTGCTACAGGAGGTCATTATGGCTTAATTGGCTTTTTAAAAGACAGGATAAACTATCCCTTGCAAAACTCTCCTGATGACGACTAGGCTTTCCATCATCTGTGTGACTTTGTTCAATGCGAGTAGTGCTGTGCTGCTTTGCACGGAGACTGGCCGCACCACAAAGCTTTGGATAAGACCTTTAAGTGTGCATTCACTTCTAAAATAGCATTTTGAACAATGCTTCAACATAGATTTATTTTTGGGGGAAGTATTAAGAGAGAGAGTGTTTTTGATTTTGGTTCTTTTTTTTACCTTTCCCCATGCACAAATGAAAGGAGTCTGACACTTGACCAAAGTCAAAACTCTGCTCTGAAAACTAAATTAAAGAGATGGCCAGTGATCTTTCCCTGAGTGTTTTTCACTGTTGTTGTGTTAGCCTCAAGAAAGACTTTGCTGTCCTTCATCCTCTTGGCACTTTGGAGCCAACTCCCTGATGTTACAACATTATGGCCTGGTTCTAGTCTTTCTTGCAGGGCTCCAGAATAGAGTGCCCTAGGCTAACCTAAAAAGAACTGGGAATAAAGCAATATCTGATCAAAGATGGTCAAATGCAAATTTAACATAGCAGAGCTATTATCTAGATAAAAAGACAAGGCATACCAGCTGCAGAAGTCACTAAGAAAATAGTCCCATGTGAGTTACTTGTAAAACCCTTGAAGTCACTTTTGAAAAAAAACCAAACAATGAGCTATTAAATGTATAAATTTTCTGTATTTGGTGGTAATTTTTCCTGGGTAATTACACTACCACTGTCACTATCTTGTCAATCTTCTGTTTTTTCAACCGATACACAAAAAGACAGAGACTCTAGCAAAGAAAATCTGGGAATTTGCATTCATGTTGGGGATAAAATGCTGCATCTTGATGCTCTTGGATTATGTTTTTCTGTAAGATTTTGTGCAAACTTGTTTTTTTGAACACCAGGAGCCAAAAACATATTAAAAAGTGGCCAATACTTTAAAGAGCATGACTGAAGTGAAAATAAGCTATTGTGGATTTCTGAACTTCTGTCATAGAAGCAAAATTCACTGAATTATTCTTTTAGTTTCCATGAACTTGTATATGAACTTTTGAGTAGGAGACTCCTATAAACTGCTAGTAATGGAGCCTTGGGGATCTATTTTTTTAATTACCTTAGAGTGCAGTATTGAATGACATACTGTTTTTATTAGTTTTAGACCTCAAAACTACTTCTCAAGTAAAATAAACTTTGATCTAACTTTGCCTGATACTGTGTTTTAAATGAAGGAAGAATCTGTATTACTATTATAATGGTTTTATTTTGTAGGAGAATAAACACTGTAGTTATGAGGGTTCTGTTCAGAGAAGTCTAATGCTTAAAGGGAACAAGTTTAGTTATACTATACCTTGATAAATGCCAATATCAAGGAGCACAATTTAACATTCTTTGTTTCAAATAACTGAGCTCGATCATTTAAGTATTTAATGGAGTAAAATTTCCATGAAAGGAAACTGAGGAAGCAGGAGGCTTATGCCTTTGATTTCTGTGACTGAATTACTCTTTAAGTCCCTCTTCTAATGATGAGGCATTCATCATGTCTTGCCCTCGTGTATGCTTTAGGGGTTTTTTTATTCCTAATAGTTGGAATTATCTTTCCC